GGCGGGGAGGAAAGCGAGAAGGTGGAGGAGAAGTCGGTGGAGGTGGAGAGGAGATGGCAGGAGGCGGACGGGAGATGGCGGAGGCGGAGAGGAGATGGCGGGAGGAGGCGGACAGGAGGCGGCGGAAGGAAGGTGCCGGAGGCGGAGAGATGATGGCGGGAGGAGGCAGATGGGAGGTGGCAGAGGCGGAGAGGAGATGGCGGGAGGAGGCGGACGGGAGGTGGCAGAGGCGGAGAGGAGATGGCGGGAGGAGGCGGACGGGAGGTGACGGCCCTGCAACGGGCCAATGGGCCGCCTTGCAACAGGCCAATGGCCAGCAGGTGCCGAGGCAATTCTTTTACGACGGGCCCTCTGTTTCAACGGGCGTGACAATCCAGGCCGCCCAAGGTCCTACCGCAACGATCCAGGCCGTCTGGCAGGGCGGACGGACTGGATCATCGTGCGATCTCAAAGTCTTGAAGTCTTAAGATCACGCAGAAATCCGGAATGTCGGCCGGTAGGACCGCGGGCGGCCTGGATCGCCCAATTCTCATGTTAGCAATTTCTATAGTGTAGGGATCTGGCACGTCATGCCTCAAATCCAGCACAGGGCTTCTCTCTTTTCTACCCTCCTGAAGATTTCGATGCTGCTGCTGCTGTATGTCATATACCTGAAAAAAATGGTTGGCAGAGGGATCACATGAAAATGTGTGGATATACGACTATTTGTCATTAGTTCCTTCATGCTGCAGAGGGATTAAAAAAAATGAATAATTTGAGTCGAGTTTCTGGATTCCTGATTAGATTTCTGGCAATGCCTGCCATTCTGGAAGGACTTGAATTGAACTGAATTGAATAATACCGGATTTGGATATACGACTACTTGTTGTTAGTTCCTTAACGTTGCTGAGATTCTTTACCTTGGGATCACGCTGGTAACAGAGATAAGACACAGATCCCTCTGATTTGTCGATTATCTTCTCCCACCGCGGCTCCTGGGAGTCATCAGCGCCTTCCAGTTTCGGAATGTACCGTAGCAAATCCCTTTCTGTGACGAGATTGTCCAATCCATCATCTCCAAACGATGGGAGGCTGCTCTCACCCGCCTCCCTGTTACTAGCTTCGCTCTCACCCTCTTCCACCTCCCTTTCCGCTCTCCCATCTCCTCCTGTTGGCGACAGGTTGTGAGAACAAACATAGGAGGCTCTGCATGGCAAACAGAAGATCGTGAACAGAGGACATCCAGGGAAATGAACCTCGATCAGTTCTATCTACAACAACAAAATTACAGATGTAATTTGCACTGCCACACTAATAAAATGCCGCGTACATGTGACTAATTCCAACCCCTCCTAAACACTAGCTTATCGCAACAGGCATTCCTACGCAGCAGACAGACAACACACCACTCCACAGAGATCTGAAGAGAGAGTTCGCAGCGGGGAGAGATGGAACAAAGTGCCACTCGGGAAAGCTTTGGAGGGAGAGTCAGCAGCGGGGAGGAGTATCGATATCCCAACATGGGGTGCACATTTCCCTTCATTGATATGATCACCGCTTTCTTCTTTTTCTTCTTCAGCTTTTTCTTCTTCTTTTTCTTCTTCTTTTTCTTCTTCTTCTTTTTCTTCTTCTTTTTCTTCTTCTTTTTCTTCTTCTTTTTCTTCTTCTTCGGATAATCCTCAGGATCCATCATCATAATCATCATCATCATCTTGTTCTTTGTCTTCTTCATGTACTTCTTCTTTTTCAGAATCATCATCATTATCATCACCATTCTTCTTCCTTTTCTTCAGGATCATCATCTTCGTCATCTTCTTTGCTTCTTCAGAATCATCATCACCATCATCTTCCTCCTCCTTCAGAATCATCAGAATCTTCCTGTCAGAGACATGTGCCACCAACAATCTGCGCAGCTAACTGGATGGCTGCAAGCATATATGCTGGCAGCAAAGCTATTGCTGCTGCTGCTGCTGCAGATGATGATGATGATGATGACAATGACGACGGTGACGAGGAGGAGAGGAGTGCGCGGACAAAGATATTAAAGTAATAATAATTAGAATGAGGTGAGAAGAATGTCAATGGCAATGATCATACACAGTTTCTTTTCTACCACTCATCTATTTCCGGTTCCCCGATCGATCGACTGCAAATTCCAGACCTGCAGAGGTTACCTCACGTGTCACAACCCTATCAATTAACAGAGGCAAAGTCAAAAGAAAAGAAAAATCAAAATCAAAAGAAAACCAAAAGACCACGTGGGTTTGGCGACATCATCGCCAAACCATGTGCTGCTGATGTTGCACCTGTTCTAGTTTTTTGAGTGAGTGCCACTGAGTGGCATGGTGGGGTCGACAGAGCGGGACAACTGCAGAAGGACGATCCACAGAAATCTGTAGCTTGAAACGGTGACCAACAGCCACCCCTCTTCCTCTTCCTCTTCCTCCTCATCTTCTCACTATCCCACCACATCTGATCACCAACAGCTTGAAACTAGACC